GACATATAGATAGACTTCCACAAGACGGTTTTCCTTCATGCATGGGGTCGGATGTAGTGGGTTGGGAGTTTTGATGATGATGGCAGTTCATTGAATTAATTCGAAATATTCAAATATCCGGCAAGGATTTATTGGAAACTGCCAATTAGAAGTTACCCATGCACATAATAATTAATGGTACATTTATTAACCGATAAACGTACCACTATTCCAAGATTTGTAGATGGACAGGGTAGGTTATTAATATATCTAACACATAATTCAAAAAGAATAATTTGTCCTATGACAAAAGGAAAAATTCAATGACAAGATCGCAAGTACTGAAAACGGGGAAATATTTTGCTCGAACCATTAACATAAAGAATCAAATGATTCTGATGATACAATTCAGTGATTAAACTTATTACAATTAGTTTACTATATTTCAATTAGAGTAATTAAACTAAATACATCATATTGTTACATTTTTTGTAAATAAAATGTTTGGATCGATCATGTAAGTAGTCTGCATGGGGAGTGGAAGTGATGGGTTGGGAGAAGTTATAATGATGATGATGAATAATAAACGTGAATGTTAAGCGCATATATTTAGGATTCCGGCGCAAATACTCTTGGCAATTGCCATTTCTCACTTACGCATGCATATAATAATTAATGGTACATGTTTACGTTTTTAAATGTACCACTAAGATATGCTTAATCCTTGTGCGAAATTTTATTTGTATTGTAAGAGTAGAATTTGCAATGTTATGTAAGTATGGGACAATGAAAACTGAATAATGTCCTAATTCGGACACATAAACCTTTTTTGACTATTCATGTTGTAATCGCAACCCATTCCTATAACTAGAGTTTTCTTCAGTGGCATAATAATAATGGTGGTACCAATACCTGCGTCGTACAAGGCCGACGACATCACCCGACAGGTTATTTGTAACTCGACGTAGGTTGTGACGCCATTTTACCAATTGAAACGAAAAATGTACCACTATCGTAGACTTTAATGTTTTTAAAACATCACTGGGTATCAACACGGCCACACCAATTCAACTAACGTACCACGTTACAATACTAATTTAACTACGACCATCATAATAACACGAAACTAGTCATCCTCATCATCGTCCTCCTCATCGTCGTCATCCTCATCATTTTCATCCTCATCCTCAACAATGCCCTCCTGGTTCTGGTCTCCCATCTCCTCATCACCATTAACATCATGAGCACCACAAACAGCCACAACAGTACCCATGTCCTCCTCGAAAGTCCTCTCAACAGGTGGCTCATTCCCAACATTAGTGTCATTTCCGGCAATTCCTGGCGATGAACGACAAGCAACAATTTCACTCTGAACGCATGCAATACGCTGATCCAAAAGCTGGCTCAAACGGACCCATAACACCCTCGCTTCTTCCAGCTTCGCCATATGTACTGCTTTAACCTTTTTTGCTTCTTTCAGCTTAGCCGCATATATTGCTTTAACCTGTTCTGCTTCTTCTACCAATTTCTTCCCCTGCCCAGCAAGTTCGGACATCTCTGAGTACAACTTGTCAAGTTGCCCTTCTAATTCAGTCACTTCCCAGTCACTCATGGTAGCTTCTTTGACAGCCAAAGACAATAGAAAGGGTCAAACCATGTCTAGAAAGCAGTACATAACATGGGGTTTTTGCACTATCATAACTAATGTGGTACATATACTCTTCATTTCTAGTACCACTATCAATGGTGTAAAAATTGGGAAAAAAGATAAACCAAATCATGGTGTAAAAATTGGGTAAAAGGGACAAAATTGAAATGGTAATTCCATGTTTCTAAAGTGGTATAAAGCAGCACCACTGTGATTAAAATAGTACAATTTCATGTACCATCCATAACAGTGCCGTTGCGTGACAGTGGTACAAAAAACCCCAGCATAAATTGTAACAATCCATAAACACAAATAATTGGTTAAGATTTTAGGCAAAAAGGAAAACACTACAATTCACATCAACCGGGTTTAATCCGAACTAAGAGGTACAAAAATCCCACACAGAAAAGTAGGAAAAAGGGATAAGCAAATAATTCTCATCCCCTTTCCCACCCCACCCAGTTATTGTCGTAATAAAGCCGAAAACACTCACCCCATTAATGGCGACATGAGGAAAAAGAACATAAAAAGCAGGAAACAGTCACACCATTTATGGAGATATTAGGAAAAAAACACAAAACCATGAAAATACTAAACACAACGGAAAGATTAGGAAAAACGACACAAAAACAACGAAACATTGGAGATATAAACAAAACCATGAAAAGGTAAAATACCCCCAAAAACACGAAGTGCGAAAAATATAACAAGAATATAGTGTTACAGAGTGGAGACTGGAGATCCAAAGAAAAAACAGGGAACATAAGCAAAGAGTCCGACACCAGTACACGACGAATTAAATTGGAACATACCTTGTAGCAGAATTCTATTAGCGATTGTTTTTTTTTTTTGGTTTTTTTTTTTATTTTTGCAAACCCATTTGCATGTACCCGGTGTACAGTATTTTTACTGTACATCGGGTTTTCGCACGTGCTTTTTTTTAAAAAAAAAAATCGCAGAATTTCAAATACCTAAAAATAAAAAAAACGCAGAACAACAATGGAGGAGAGAGAAAGTGAGAAAACGTAGCTATCAATCATCCATTGAGGAGAGAGAAAGTGAGAAATAGCAAAAATTGCAGAAAACGAACATCAATCAAGGAGAAAAAAGTTTAGAAAACGCAAAAATTGCAGAAATCGATCATCAATCGAGGAGAAAAAAGGTGAGAAAATGCACAAATAGAAGAATTCGATCATCAATTAAGGACAAAGAAAGTGAGAAAACTTACAAATTGCAGAATTCGATCATCAATGGAGAATTCGACTTTCGATAAAACAAATTGCAGCAATCTCATTCACGAATTGCTACAAAAACAGAGGCAAATTGAGACTGAATTTGAAATCGATTTAAATCGATCGATTATAGAAGAAGAAGAAACTAATTGTTTTGGAGATGAATTCGTACCAATATTCAACAATCCAGACAATGCAGATGAAGCAATCGATAATGCAGATGAAGCAATTGAGAATGCAGAAGACGCAATTCATAATGCAAAAAATCAAGTGGTTCATGATAAATCAATTTATTCAAATTCAGAACAAACAGCCAAATCAGATGCAACTGAAGGTAATTTCTATGAATTTTTGAGATTGTATGCAAAAAGTAACCCTTTGAATAAATAATTGTTACCCTTTTCATGCATAAACGTGACCATACTTATGCCTAAATGTTACCCTCAGATTGAATGCATAACTTTTTAGATTGCATGCAAAAAGTAACCCTTTGAATGCCTAAATGTTACCCTTTTCATGCTTAAAAGTGACCCTATTTATGCTCAAATGTTACACTCAGATTGTATGCTGAAAATTCAGATTGTATGCAAAAAATAACCCTTTGAATGCCTAAATGTTACCTTTTTCATGCATAAAAGTTACCCTATTTATGCTCAAATGTTACACTCAGATTGTATGCTGAAAATTCAGATTGTATGCAAAAAGTAACCCTTTCAATGCCTAAATGTTACCTTTTTCATGCATAAAAGTTACCCTATTTTCAAACGAATGTTACCCTTTTTTTTATGCTGTCTGTGGTTATTATGTGATTTTTTTGTATTAAATAACAGATACAAATCCAATTGATGCTTATGGTTTAGATCTTAGAGGATCATTTGTTGGTGTGGTAAGAGAAACTTTTGAAGAAATTTTGGAATTGTATGAAAAACATGCTGCTATACTGGGGTTTTCAATAAGAAAACATACAACTAGATTCAAATAACACACAAAAATAGTAACTGAGAAAAACTATGTGTGTTCTGCTGAGGGAAAGAGACATTCAGGTCAGAAGAAAACAAAGTTAGTTGAAATGGTTGATGAAGAGGATGTAAATGTAAAAACAAGAAAGCCAAGACAAGTATCCATTACAAGATCAAATTGCAAGGCATGCATAAGAGCAAAAGTGAATAAAGAAGGACAGTTTGAGGTGGTGGCTCATGTTATTCAGCATAACCACGAGCTAACAAAGCCACAGTGGCATTATTTGCATCGTTCTGAAAGAAAAATGACAGAGGAAAAAGTTGTAACAATCAAAACAATGAAATCTTCAAGTCTAACTACAATGGACACTTACAATTACATGGCTACAGAGGCTGGAGGAGAACAGAATATAGGCCATAGTGTTGTAGATCACCTGAATTTCTGCTCAAGGTTAAGAATTGAACAAATTGAGCTGGAGATGCTCAAACTTTAGTGAACATTTTAAGTCAGGAACAATCAGAGGATCCAAACTTCTTTTTTAGAGTGAAGTTTGACAAAGAAGGAAGAATTTGCAATATCTTTTGGAGAGATTCAATGATGCTAGAAGACTATAAGATATATGGAGATGTTCTTGTCTTTGGTACAACATACATAACCAACAGATATAATCTTATATGTGCTCCATTTGTTGGCATAAATAACCACTGGCATAATTGTATGTTTGCTTGTGCTTTTATTGGGGATGAAACGACAGATTCATTTGTGTGGTTACTACAAACCTTCTTCAAAGCTACGGAGGATAGAAAACCAACTTCAATATTCACTGACCAGGACCAAGCAATGGCAAATGCTATACTGGAGGTTAAAGATTTATATTGACATCTTACAGATTTGAGCTATGACAATAAAGTTTTCCTTTTCCACATAAAGTTACCCTTTTAGCTGCATAAAGTTACCCTTTTTAGTGCATAAAGTAACCCTTTTAACAGCATAAAGTGACCACTTTATTTTCAATGCAGGTGATTCCTAATACAAGACATAGACTTTGTATATGGCATTTGGAGCAAAATGCCATAACCAGATTTGGAGCTCTTAAAAAAGACAAAGAATTCAAATTTGCATTCAACCAGTGCTTAAAGATGTGTGTGACAGAACAAGAATTCGAAGCAAAGTGGTAAACAATGTTGCAAAAATATGAGTTGACAGAAAACTCTTGGTACAAAAGAGTGTATGAGTTGAAAGACAAATGGTGTCCTGCCCTTTGTAGAGATTTCTTTTCAGCAGGGATCTTATCGTCACAGAGAAGTGAAAGCACTAATCATGCCATAGGATTCAGAGCAAGTAAAGCAACTACTTTGACAGAATTTTATACCATATTTAAGAAGACAACTAATCGTTGGAGAAGCACAGAGAAATATGATGAGTTTACCTTTAGCAAGTCAATAGCATTCACTTCATTGCCTCTATTTGGAATGCTAAAGCATGCTGCACAGGTAAAAAGTTAACTGACAAGTACATAAATTACACCTAATATATGGCAATTTAAATGAAGCTACATGATTTTGATGTACAGGTTTTCACTTTATCACTCTTTAGAAATTTTGAAGAGGAGTTTGGATACTCTATGGCAACAACTGTTCAGATGTTAGGCAGTAATGAAGAATGCCTACTTTATCAAGTAACACTAGAAGACAAGCCATGGTCTGCACATCAAGTAAACTATATACAAGAGAGCCAAACTGTATGGTGTACTTGCAAAAACTTTGAAGCATCTGGATGGTTATGTTATCATTGCATCAGAATTCTACATTTGCATTCGGTAACAAGAATACCAGACAAGTATGTTACAAAAAGATGGACTAAGTTTGCAAAACCAGAGGCATGTGATAGGTTGAAGAATCAGGATCCTAAACAGCAATATATTCCATGGAGGCAAACAATGATGTGGCAGAAGCTGCTTCTAACATTCCTGATGTGGCAGACAACACTCAAAGCAATACTGACGCTTCTTCAGCATCGAGTACAAGCACATGTGTACCAATAATTCTTGATCCTAAAAGGGCTGTAACAAAAGGAAGAAGCAAGAGAGCAAAAGGAGGACTTGAAAAAAGCAAGAGAAAAAGAAAACCAGCACTGCCACCTCCAAATTCAGAATTTGGATCAAAGACACCTAACTTACGACTCTTTTAAGATCTTTTTTAGAACATTTTTTTTTCGAAATTAATATACCTTGTATTGTTAAACTATTTTTCTTTTGTTTTTTTACTCTATGACTAGTTTAATGAAAATGTGATTGACACTTTTATTAGCACATGTTTAATTATTGGAACACATCAACTTATGTTACCCTTTTAACGTATAAAAGTAACCCTTTTCATGCATAAAAGTAACCCTTTTCATGCATAAAAGTGACCCTTTTCATGCATAAAAGCTATCCTTTCTATCTACTAAATCAACCTTTTCTTTGGCAATATTTACCCTTTCTGTTAATAAAAGTTAACCCTTTTATCAATAAAAGTTACCCTTTCCATGCATAAAAGTTACACTATCTACCCACAAAAGTATACCTTATCATGTATAAACTTATTATTTGTTTATTTGTTTGACAACAACGCTTGAGTAATTGTAATAGTCAAAATCAAGTACAATTAATAGTCAAGTATTATTTTCAATGAAACTTATCATGACAAGTAACAATAACTGAAATCAAAACTTTAAACCTATAATAAGAATGAAAATAAGGTATGAACTCCATTATAAAGATGGGGACAAAAAACAATTTCAAAAGTTAAAAAAAGAATATTTGATGAATATTGGAACGTAAAATGGCAGTAAATAAAACATTGGAGCAAAATATTTGATGAATATGTCTTTGGATATTTATCAAATAAGGGTTTTAAAAATCCTTTTTGGAAATTACCTCTTATAAACCTTTTCGATGTGATAATAAGGTTTTGTAAAATTCTTTTTGGAAATAACTGAAGTAATTATTAACCTTGTTTACACTTTCCAATGAATATTCGAACAAGAAAATGGCAGTAATTAAAATTGTATCTGATAAAACCTTTATGATATTTAAGGTATTTATTAACCTTGTTTCCCGCGTCCCTATTGCCAAATACATGCATATGTACTTATTGCCAAGTATAGGGAATTAGCGGTACTTATGCCTTCACCCATTGATTTGTCAAATCACAACTCTTCACTCCACATTTTCACCTTCTCACTCCTCTTAAACCGTCACTTCATCCATTATTTAAGGTCCCCGCTTTCTAACTCCACTTATTTCACCTTCATCTCCACCTCAAAGTTCCTGAATTATTTTGTTTTTCTCTCCCAAACCTTCCAATTTCTCCCTCTCTAAAATGACCATCCAAAGTTATGGTTGGTTTTTCTCCATAGTGACGCTATTCGCCACCTTAAGAAATCCCTCGACAGATACTGACGCTACAGATAATTGAAATATGTCGGAACAGTAATAACAACGCCCTTGACAATCAAAACGGTGAAGATGTAGCCCTTTTTAAGGGTGATGGTATTACTGGCGGGGCTAATTAAGTGACATTGGGTGGCTAATTTTTTTTATTAAAAATTTAATTAAATTGCGTTATTTGGTATCACATGAAAACTGCAAACCTAACCCCCAAGAAAGTTGAGTAAAATGTCTTATTTTTTAATTGAGATTCTTCCATAATTGTTAATGTTGTTAATGCCGCCATTGAACAAGAGAGCCAAAGCAAGAAAATTTGAGTCATGAAGAGAGAAAAAGTGAGAGTTTATCTAATTTATCTGGGATTGGAAAATGTGTTGGATTACTTTTTTAATTTGGAAAGTTGATTTCCTTGGCATTTTTTTAAGGATGGTGGTCTACTTTTTTAATGCTTTTCTCTAATTGAGTAAATTAGATTAGAAAATCTATTTTTGCCATATTCTTTGGTCTGTTTTCAACAAATCTAGTGTATTGGTTTAGCTTGTTTTCGGTAGGCTTTGAATAATTAAAAACTAGAAGGATGCAAGTGTTATTTTAGTTTAATATTTCACTTTGAATTGTTCGACTAATTATTTTATTTTGAGATTTTAAATTTAAGTTTTGACCAACTACTGTGTTTGGATTTTTTTTTTGGTTTTATTGTTTTTGGTTGTGAATTTTGTCAAATTATATTATATCCATAATCCGTCCCCCCAATTTGACTCGCTTGGCTCCTACACTCAGCAGTATCTCTCGAGGGATTTCTTAAGGTGGCTTACAGGGTCATTTTCCTGGAAACACCTATCATGCTCGAGGAAGTTAAGGTGGTTTTAGAGAGGGTGAAATTGGAAAGTTTGTGAGACCAGAAGAAAGAGAATGTTGTATTTATAAGTACCCGGCGAGGTAGAATTTTATCATTAAGGTCTAACTTGCAATGCTCTGATGTGAATATCTGGCCTTACTATCTGTTTGACATGGTTTAATTATTTGATTGATTATCACTTGCAGATTTCTGTCACGGCCAACTCATGCCCAGGCAGCTTAATCCCATCTAGATGGAAGTCGGTGTCATCGTTCTCCCTGTCACATCGGGAATTAGACCTGTAACTTCTCACACGAGCAGCCTAATGTAATGAAAAGTTTAGATGAGTGTCATTAGAACATTTAGTGGGACATCAATCCGAACAGCACAAGCCACAGTCACGCAAATAATCGTTGTTCCTCCATGGCATTTTTTAAATTTTTATTTTGAATTCTTTTCCTAAATGTTTCAAAAGTGTAATGGGGTGAGTACGGGTAGAAGAGAGGTGATCTTGTAAGTGCTTTAGGGATCTAAAGGAAGAAATAAAAAAAGTATAAAAACCTACTGCTTGAACAATCCAAGTCGGAGCCGTAGGTTTTTTTTGCCAAATTTCGTAATAATATCTGTCTGTTTTTCTACTGTTTTGCTTAACTTTACTGCTTTTACTTCAGTTTCAGTTACGCAACTTGTTTTTAAGCATGGAATTATATCTCGAACCCTTTACACTGAGTTTTATGCCGAACTTGATTTTATGTTCTGCACTTCAGTTTTATTTACGCAACTCGTTTTTAATCCTTGAAATGAATCTCAAAGCGTTGACACTGAATAGATAGATTTATGTACTACACCTTGAAAACTGCATTCAAGAACTTGAAATTTTATACTTGCGCAGAATTGGCCATACTCTATACAACCCCCCTTGTAGAGTGTACTTGTTATTATGCTATTGAACCTATTGCCCATACAAATTAAGTATTGACCCTTCATCCTTGCCGGAATTCAATAAAGGGACTATAACAACCTTTTGACCATTTTCTGTTGTAGTCTTATTTATAGGTTATACTATAATTTTGTTGTCGTTTTTATCAGTTGTGATTGTGACTTGGGAGTGGGTTGTACGCGTTTTTTTTATGATTGATCGACGTCAAAGCCTGATAATATGCAAGTTATATTGTTCAATTCCAACGTATGTGTACATGCTATTATTAATTAATATCCAAGTATCATTTTCAATGTAACTTATCTTAACAATAATTGGAATCAAAACTTCAAACCTATAATAAGAATTAAAATAAGGTATGAACTCCATTAAAAAGAAGGGGATAAAAAACAACTTCAAAAGTTAAAACAGAATATTTGATGAATATTAGAAGAGAAGAGAGGCTGTAAATAAATTATTGGAACAAAATATTTGATGAATAGGTCTTTGGATATTTATTAAATAAGGGTTTGATTAATTCTTTTTGGAAATTACCTCTTATAAACCTTTCCGCTGTGATACTTATGTTTTGAAAAATTCTCTTTGGAAATAAAATAAATAATTACTAACCTTGTTCAACCGTTCGGATGAATATCGGAACAGGAAAATGGCAGTAAATAAAATTGTTTTACTCTAGTTAAAGGTAGAAATAAATAAAAAGTTTGAAACACTACGGGTTGAAAAACCGCATTTTACTCTAGTTTTATTTACGCAACTTGTTTTTAATCTTTGAAGCCTTGATACTGAATAGTTAAATCAATTTAAAGCCTTGATACTGAATAGTTAAATCAATTTATTATACTTTGAAACTGCGTTCAAGACTTTTGAAATTTAATACTTGCGACAAATGACCATACTCTATTCAATCACCCGATCTACTTATTATTCCATCACCCTATTGAACCTTCATCCTTGCCGGAACTAAAAAATGGGAGATAATATGTGATTTTCTGTATGTTTGTTGGAATTCAAGGCCATTGTGTTATGGATATTACCATGTAATATGTCATGGTGAAGATTCGGCTGTATTTATATGCAATCAAATCCCAATAACAATAACCATGTACTATGTTGTCAAAGTGTTCTAATTATGTGTACACATGTTTGACCTACTTTAAGACCAAATATGAATAGAATTAAAGTTTCATAATATTCCGTAACCTATTTTGACTAATAAAAAATAGTTTAATCCTAAATTAATCCTCAATACGTTCTGAATTTATTTTAATTGACAACAACGCTTGACTAATTTGAATAGTCAAAATCAATTACAATTAATAGTCATGTATTATTTTCAATGAAACTTATCTTAATAATAATTGAAATCATAACTTTAATACTGTATTTAAAATGTCAAAATCAATTACAATTAATAGTCAAGTATTATTTTCAATGAAACTTATCTTAATAATAATTGAAATCATAACTTTAATACTATTATAAAAATGAAAATAAGGTATGAACGCCATAAAAAAGCAGGGGACGAAAAACAACATAACAAGCTAAAACAGAAAATTTGATGAATATTGGACCAGAAAAATGGCAGTGATTTAAAAATAGGAACATAATATTTGATGAACATATCTATGGATATTTACTAAATTAGTTTTTGA